GGAGGGAGGACCCCCCCCCCCGTGATCCTGGCTGGTGGAGGGGGGGCCGGCCGCCTCTTATTCCCCCGCAAAGCAAAGGGAGGGGCGCTGCTCATTTATTTGGAAGTCAGAAAGCTCAGCTTCAGGGCCCCACCGGCTTCTCCACCTTTGCATCCCCAGATTCAGGGGCTGAACTGATAGATTCCCTCCTTCCCCAACCTGGCGCCCCCCTCCCCGGTAGCATTTTCAGAGTAGCCCATTCGTGGGAGACCTCCTAACAGATGCACAGAATCCATGTTTATGTCAACCCCCCAGCCCCCTTTCTGCAAAATCTTTGCTGGAGGGGACCCTGGATATCCAATTCCTCAAATCCCACCTGTGGCCCCTGGAGGGCCACAGGGCCCCCTTCTTGGAGGGTTCTTTGCAGAGATTCTCCCCTGCCCTGAGAATCCCTGGCCCCACCCCAAATCCTTATAGGTCAGTCATCCTCTTTGGTTGCATCCCCCTTTCCCCATCAAGGGAGGGGTCCGTCCTGTCCAAACGGAGCTAACCCCCTCAAAAGACACGTCTCACGCGGGGCACCCAAGAACATCCTTTTGCCCGGGACCCCAGACCCCGGATGTGAGGCTTGTGGACCCCCCTCCTTCAAAGAGGGGGTTTAGTTTTGAGAAGGGGACCGTGGGTTCCCCAGTGGGGTCGAAGAAGGCGAGCCGAATATTTGCAACATCTGGATTTGTCAGACCACCGCCTTCAGCCTGAACAGCAGCCCGCCAGTTGCTCTGGCAATGCTCAAAGTCTTCCCACGGGGTCTTCCAGGGGGGCAACTCCCCACCTTAGTATTGGGGGAGGGAGCCAAGCTGGCAAGCCGGGAGGAACTTAACCCACGTGTCTGAAATGGCCGTTAATGTCAGTCAATGTCTGTCTGTTCATCACCCCCTGCAAAGCACCAGTTAGGGTAGTGTTTCTCAAACCTGGGGACTTTAAGATGGGTGGACTCCCACTCCCAGAATTCCCCAGCCAGCCATGCTGG